GGGGTAGCAAACTAATAAAGGAAAAAATTAACAGGGTAACAGATAGTGAAAATCTTGCTATGTGTGAAAGAAGAGGGTTTATGTATTTTAAGTTTTTCAGTACTCTAAACAGCACTTTTATTGTATTTGATGGAAAAAGTTAGGATCCGAAAAGTAAAAAAAAAACAAAAGCATTATTGGGCCTGTGAAGACTATTAAATAGAGAACAATCGTTTATTTACTTAAATTAAATCATACATTCAAGAAAAGTTATAATACGCTGGTCTAATGAATATAACATCACATACTAATACACAAACAAGGTATAAATTAATTTTTGTAGACATTTAATTTTAATTCTTAATTTTATTTTTACCGCCATGTGGTAGTATTGTGGTTTAAAAAGTGTTTACAGTTAAATTAGTAAGTCAATTTATAAAATGTCTATTCTCTAAAAAAAATTAAATAGTTTATCAATTTTGTAAAATAAATAGAAGGAATGCACGATTTTGCCAGAATATATAACATTGGGAGATTTCATTTCGTGGTACCAAATACCAAAAACTCATTCGATGAAATTATTTTTTAACAAATAATTATTCTTTAACAACTCATATTTTTTTAAATCGAATTAATTGAATATTTACTAACTTATGTACTACATGATAAAAATACGACGGAGTTTCTCATTTTTTTCCGAAATAAATAGAATCTAAAAAAAAAAAAATTAATTTAATTTTTGTTTTATTTTTATATATTTTTAACATATAATAGACGAGGGAAGAGGTGCTGCCGAGCTCCATTCTTCGTCATGCCTATCATGCCATTTTCAACTTAACAAAAAATCTGCCAATTGTCACTACCCTGAAAGGTGTGAATGATGGATTGAAGACAACAAAACAACAAGAAAAACATGTAATTATATCTAAAGGAAAGATATTAAGTAAAATAAAATATACAGTGATTTATATGTCATATCAAAAATACGATAGAGTTTTGGTTTTTAATGTGAATAAATAAAATCTAATCAATTGTTTTTTTTAAACAATTAATTAAATTTGTTTGGCTCATTGACCAATATAAAATATAAGTAAAGCTACTTAATATAAGTAAGATTAATTTATATAACAGATAACAATATACTTAAAATTATATACTTGTTTATTTTAGGGTCAATATTTTTTTCATTTCAAATAGGCGTTTGTTCAAAAATAAATCAATAAGTTTAATTTAATTTACAATATTAAATTACGCTTCAATTCAAGACGTAGTTAGACGCATTTGGAATCTGTTTTGATATTTTTTATGGATTCCAGACTTAATAAACAAATAGATGTTAGACATGCGGTTGGCTACAATATAAAGGTCTGGACCAACATTTTTTTTTTTTCTGTTTATTTAAGTACTTTTTCAAAATAATCTTGTGGACTTGAAAATATGTATAAGTAATTTATTTTTTCAAGCAGTGTATCGTTTGGAATAGCTGCTCATGATTACAAGATGAAATGATGAACATATGACGAACTCGCTAACAATATATTGGTCTGGTTTTTAGATTTTGAGATATTTTAATAAATATTAAAAAAACAGTTTAGTGGTCCCATTAGATTGAAAAACTCCATTTGACATGTATAAATGCATCTAAATATTTCCTCGTGTTTATAGTGTTTCTTAGAGAATTTCGGTTGTAGATAAGCCCAAAGATTAAACTTACTGTTCCTTCTTATTTCAACTACCTCATGCCTTTTATGCCTTGTTCTTGGGTTGATAATTATAAAGCCGCTCAATTTGTGGTATATTTTTGGTACAGCACATTATGATATATGCCGATGACACATGTGTCGAATCAGTTAATTACGACAAATCAATCGCATCCCAAATCTTGAAGAATTGTATCAAAACTGGTGAATCTGAATCCAATAATTCCCACCAAATTATTTTTACCCTTCGTCGTAAACCTGTAAGTTCCCGTTCTATATTATCCTTTAACAATACTCCGCTTATATAATTTTATGTTGTACTCCTAATGTTATACTCCGTTGAACGAATCCAATATTTATGACTGCACCTTGCAACATCTAGCTTGGAATTCTCATATCAGACTAAAAAGACAAGAAACCGCTTGACGTTTCCGACTACTTCACCACTTACTAGACAAACGCTCTAAACTCCCTTTTACCAATAAAAGATTTTTGTATTATACTAAGGTCTTCTTGGACAAATAGAGTTGCACTTAGAGACTCCACTGAGGCATCGAATTCCTCTTGTATCCAATCCTTACGAACCAAAATCCTGAATGATCCTTACTTTGTCACAAATAAAATCATCTATAACGAGCTTAATGTCCCATTTGTTTCCGATTTAGCCCAATAACTATCACTACATAACAAACATCAGAACCTTCCTAATCCTTTCGTTTTTTACCTTGCTATCTCTTCGATACACGCTAACCCCCGGTTCGTTAAGAAGGAAGATAGCTTCGTAATCTAATTCAGAAAATTTATTAGAGTGTTACCAATGGGTAGATGCTCTACAATTCTTTTCATGCTATTGTATTTCTCTGTACACATTTACTACATGTATATTTACTTTACACAGTTGTAAATTTCATGGATAAATAAAAAGAATAATTATAATATGATCATACTCAAGTCTTATAAATTTGGAAAAGGTAAAAAAAATCTGGTTAATTTTGTAGCAAATGACCTGCTAAAATTTTAAGCAAATTTCAGTTTAAAAATATCTTGGGAACCTAGATGGTGTATGCATGGTTACCACTCTATAAATCATAAAAAACTAATCCAAATAGCGACCTAACTTTTATAAATGTGATAACGAAATATTTTATGATTCATGATCACAAAAAAAAATTCAAAAATCTATATAACATCACCTATTAATATAATGCAATTTTTAATTTTTTCTTACAAGTTTATTCTAAAAGTTTTATTTCTTCACAAGTAATCGAAATTTATTTAATAAAAAATTCTAATTACAGCTATTTAATATAATAGGTATATTAAATTATTTATGTTTTTGTTACAATTGTGATCTTTGATCAGAATAAAAAATACAAGTTTTAAAAATCAACTGCACATATATGTTTTTTTTTAATTTTATAATAATTATATTTTTTAAAAAAATTTCTTCATTATATTTTCTTCCACACATTTCATAATCTTGACAATGATCTGATATGTTAATAATTAAAAATAAATTCAATTTTTATAGTGATTAACTCGCATACGTAACACACTGAAAGTTTCTTATTCCATTAGTTATAAAATTAAAACTTGAAAAACAAGTGAAACAATACTTGAAAAAACTATACAGCTGTTATGAAGACTTGTTTGTGTAACATACTCATATTAAATAGACGTTTGTTTTTATTAAATTTATAAAATTTCAATCATAATTCTCAACATTTTTTGTTATATGCAATGAAGATTTTCACTGTATTATTTATATATTATTTTTTTTTTTTTTTTTACAAAAATATGTATATAAACAATTATGAAATGTCCAAAACCCTAAAATATTCTGAATTATTTAAAATTAAAACCGGATTCACTCAATACTAAATTGATAATTGAATAAACGTTTAAATAAATAAACCAACTGTGGCCCGGTCACAAGACACGAAACCAAGGTTGCGATGAATCAGGAATGCCACCCTTCCCAGCATCTCCTGTACTAACATAAAATACAAACGAAATACATTTAAATAGATTATATCTATCTAATATATTGTATAATATAACAATATATATTTTTTTTATATCTCTCGAGACGTGTTAATTACTAAATCTATAGTTTTCTGAAATTATTATGAAAGGAGGGATAACTATATTATTGTATGAAAGAAGAAATGTAAATTTCCCACCCCCCCATGAAAATATTTGAAAAAATAAATATGACAAGAACCATACTTCTACTTTAGGGGAATCTGATGTTTAGTGAATTGAAAGTAGAGCACCAAACAATCTGTGTAGTTTATTTTGTGCTATTTAATTTTTCTTTTATGATTCGACTTGGATTAATTTATTAAATTTTAAATATACATTTATATAAATAATGTATATACTCCATAAAATATTATATCACACTTTTTTGTGTTTACTATTTTTTTATATCAAAATTTAATTTTTACTGGAATTTTTACTGGATAGTTGTAAAATTTGCTAAATTAAGGGCATTAGGTATTAAGGCTTTAGGAATATATATAAACCGTAAAGTACAAATTGAAAACAAAATAAAATAAGAAGAAAGTGTGTAAATAAAAATAAGTGTTTGTATAAAATAAAATAAATAATAATATAATTATTATAGTGTGATTTTTTTATGGACGTTACTTAATATAAATCTTTAAATGTTATCAATAGTATAGCTATAGAATAGCATTATATGGAATCGAATCTTTAAATACTATCAGTTGTGTAGCTATTAAATGGCATTATATGAAGTTTAAACTTTGTGATAAAAAATAAATAAAATTAGATGGGTATACATTTTGAATTAAAAACGAATTTTAACTTATTTTTTAAAAAAAAATATCTAAAAATTATTTTATAATTACTAATTTCTTAAATACCGTACATTATTATCACAGAATTAATTTTACTTTGTAACTGGCCACTTTATTTATTAGTAAACACTTTGAACAAAAAAAGTTTACACGCTATACAAGGGTTTTTCCTCCATCTCTTCCATCGGTTTGGTAAAAGTATACTGCGCGTTCTTCGGAAAGGCAAAGAAGGAATCCAAGAAGTTGTGAGAACCCTCCGGTAAGGCGGCACCCAATCAAGATCAGAAGCGTCGACAGTACAACGAGCGGATCAAATGGTACAGAAGAGCATGAAGAGGGTGACATCTCCATAGACGACCTAACGGTGGTCCATCAGCTGAAGATAATGCCATCCGGGCAGACAAAGAAGAGGACTGACCGCGAAGATGAAGTGGGGGATGATGCCCCACTCCTAGCTATATATAGCGCGGCCGGCGTCCCGGGTACCACAGTGTGCCAATGTTTGTGTGACTTTAGGAAGCAGCAGTAGAGATGTGGTGCTTACCCTGGGCATTCGTAAGTACAAATATCTTAGTCTGGAAGGAAGGATAACTGGAGGACTAGGGAATGGGTTAGGGGTAGCGAGGCGTTGAAGTCACTGCTATGGGCAGTTTATCCTATCTATTTTCAAGGGAGATCATATAAAAAAAAATTATTATATTTAATTTAAACAATTATGGAAAACATATATATTTAGAAGGGGGAGAGTTAGTGTTTAAGTAATCAACTTAATAAAATTTAGTTGAAGAATTTACTATATTCAAACTACTTAAAACAAAATGAATTACATTAAGTTAATGATTTTTTATTTTATTTTACTTTTTGTTCATTAGAATGGATTTTTTGTTATATAGTTTTATTAGTAGTAATTAGAAATAGTCTATAGCAAAGAAATTCAGTTCTTATCCATCAGAAATTACTACTTGAAAAACTTCAATTGCTTTAGTAAAATCAATGGAAATAAAAGTTAATACAAAAAATATATATATATTTTTTTCTCAACTTCTGACCTATTATTGAGGAATTTCATTCATGGACAATGGACCACAGAAGGAAAAATAATCTGCAGCATTAATATATAAAATATATATTTTTATTGCTACAGGTAGCTTAAGTAAATTTTACATTTTTTAGGAGTATTATTAGAATAGTATAGGAGTATTACTTCACTTACAATTAAACAAAAAAACATCATCTTTAATATCTTCTATTATCAGAAACATAAGTTTCGAACGGGGTAGCGAAAACGGTTTTCATAGAATCGAAAGGATTGTTCAATAATACAAATTTGAAGATTTCATTTAACCATTATATTTGTCCAAATCTATATATAGATATTTCTATTTTAACTTAGTTGTAACTAGGATTAGAGAACAAATAAAACATCAGAAAAAAATGTATTTAAAAAATGTCCAGAAATGAATAAAACATATCATCTGAATAAGCAATTTTAAACTAAATGAGATATTGTTTTATATTGAATATTGTTTTCGTTGGAATATTTATCGTTCAATTAAAAAAAAACGATTATATAAAATAAGTTGTCTAGATAATAAAAACACACATATACATTGGAGACCTTTATTGGACACAACCTTTATTAAACAAATTCAAATTGTGTAGGGACGCTGAGAATTGAACTAGTGTTCAACCATTAATTCATCTTGATGGCCACAATAATCAGATAGACAGTATGCGTAATATAAATCTAATTATAAACCATCCCTTTCTCAAAAAAAAAAAATAAAATAAAATAATTGTCTCCTTTAATAATAAAACATATTTAAAAATATGAATTCTAAGAAAATTATAAATATATAAAATCGACAAAACGATGTTTTTAAAATTAAACAAATTTGTTTTTTAATAAAAATAATCAGTTAATTTAATTTTTTTTCCTAAAATTTAATGTAATATTTGAATTATTTCATTCAATCTATAAAATTTCACTAATTCAATGAACGAAATCATGAAGTGGATTGATTTTTTAATGTACTTGTAATTTATTTTCTCAATGTTGATGCTTATTCTATATTTTAAAATATACTATATAATTGTTTTAGAGATTGTTTAAAAATATTTTAAAAAATATTAATAACTTACATAAGATATTAATGAGTAAAATAGGCATTGAAATATTGTAGGAGCAACCAAAGTTTTATAAAGTAAAAATGTATTATTGAATATTGTAAATATGGAAAGCATAACATATAATGCACTTTTGTGTTAATATTTGATTTTAATTTTGTTCGCTATAATAATTATTTTCAAAGAATGAATATTTTTTTTAATTTTAAAAATATTAAAGAAAAAATAAGATAAAATAGTGTTAGTAAAGTTGCATGTATCATCCTTAAAAGAATAAGTGATAGTGAAATAAACGGAACAGACTTACGTGAGCCCTAATAGGCCGAACGGTAGGAGGGACACGAAGATCGGACGATATTACCCAGTCGAAAGAAGCACGGAAGACCAACACGCTATCCCAAGCCCGGAGACCGGAGAAGACCTTGGTAGTATCTGGACGGAATGTCAAAGAGTTGGCTCCAGGCCTTGCGAACTCTGGCTATGCCAAACCTATCTCAATAATCCTTTCCGATAGGAGAAGCTGGATTCCAAAGCTAAATGTGTTTCCCTGATGGGATAATAGTTAAATCATGACTTGTTGTCGTAATAATAGCGGCTGATTCAGCTGTTGTTGGCCAGTCCTACCGTAATTACCAGAAGGACCTTCGATTTAGTCCCTCAGAGTCGTCTCCACAAACATCTCTTACAATCAAAACAATAATTAAGAAGAAATAACATATATGACGTAAGGCCATTTTGAAAAACAAACAGAGGAATTTAAGTAAGTTAACCGTTTTCTCTTTAATAGGCAACAATAACTGCACAACCCGATTGTCATAAATTCCACAAATTTGTTATCTACTTGATTGATAGATAACTTATCTATTAGCTATCAGTGTGGTGTTGATTTGATATACATTTCATTTTTATAAATTATTTAATAACTAAAAATATTAAAAGTGATAAAAAAAATTTCCACACTAATGATATATTATGTATATGTTTCCATAGTATAAAACCACAAGAATTAAAAAAAAAATAAATAAAGCATGAGATTAATATAAACCATAATTATTAATTATAGAGAATTTCGTTTAAACTTTCATTTCATCTTATTTTTTATTATTTTAAATAACAGCCATAAAATAATTAGTTTATAGTATTTAATCTGAAGAAAATCCAAAGGCAGACTGAGTTGATGTGTAATGAGAAATAAAATTAATAGTCACTATAGTATAGTAAGCAGTCATATATATATATATATATTACTTTGTATGGATACGGTATATGATGTAGAGATTATTCACCTCAGTCGTAAGTAATATACATTTATTATCATTATTAAAAGACTTAAAAAATTCTTGTTGTTCTGTAAAACATTTTATCAAACAAACATTTTATAATATTATATTTTGTTTCATAAAATAAATAAATATATATATATATATATATATATATATATATATATATATATATATATATGTATATATATAACATTAACAAGTAATAAAAATACTTTTGTCTTATAAAATTGCAAAAACTCATTTTATTTTATGTTTTCTTAAGTTGAAAATTTTTACTGAAGTAGTTTAAAGGTATTGTAGAAGCATTGTGATTTGTAATTCCTAATCACTTTTTTAAAAATATTTTTTCTCTTTATAAAAAGATACTAAAATCAGTGTTGGATTTTATGGAACTAGTTATTGTTACTGAAGTTATGTTGACTTATTCATGAACTGGAGATACCAATAGATTTTAAGTACTTGTTTTAATCAACGATTAAAATCAAATATTGATCCTTATTTATATTATTTTCCTTTTGGTAGGGGATTTACTATTAAATAGAATGACCTATAATCTCTCTTTCTCTCTCTCCCTCTCTCTCTCTCTCTCTCTCTCTCTATATATATATATATATATATATATATATATACTATATAATTAATGTTGAAAATCAGTAAAGTACATCTCAGAAATATTAATAACAGCAATTTAAAAATGCATTCCTGAGTGGTAGCGCTAATTGTCAAGAGCCTTCAGTGGCAGATATTGAGTTAAGACAAACATAGAGAAACCCTAACGACTTGGACAAACAGCCATAAAACGGACAAGAACAAGCGGAGAGTACACTGTGCAGTATTGTGTACTGCGGGCTTGGCATACACAGGCCCCGCACAAAGCAAGCTTCGTCTTTTTTTTCTTGTCCAGTCTTTGACATATCCTTCACTTTTATTTCTTTTTTCGTATGTTCTTTATTGTCCGCCGTCTGGTCCTTTTTCCATTATGATCACGTACTCACAAAGACATGTTGCAGTTGCATTGTGCTTCATCCTCTGCACTCGTACCAGACCGAACATTATAACAATTGTTTCTTCTCGTTATTGAATTGATATTTATAAAATTGACAAAAAAGATCTGTAAATCATAAATGAAAAACGTTTTTCAGAATTCTTATATTTGTTGAAATAATCCTTTATTTTGATATTAAAATATGTTTTTTAAAAATAAATAGAAGCCTACCATATGAATATAGCCTTATAATACTGTATAATATTTCTTTAAAATCAGCATTTCATCTGTTTATGTCCTTTATTTTTTAAACAATTAAAAACATGATAACGCACTGTAATATCTTTCTTATCCATTTACCACATAGATGGGTTGAATGGATTTTTCTTTCAGCCTCAGATATAACCAAATGTAAATACAAAATATTTATATAAAATAATAAAACTAACAATAAATTTGTATATATAAAAAAAATAAATAAATTTTAAAAAATATGTCCTTTTATAAATTAGGTTCATGAGGTATTTGTAAAGATAATTTATAAAGTATCAATATAAAGCTGTTTAATTATTTAATTATTTATTTATTGTTTTATAAAGTAATTTTATTTGAAACGTCAAGTTCTGGAAACATAGTTTAGTTTATGTTAGAAACAAATATTTTAATTTATTATTTTTTAAAAAATCGGTAATTTAAAATATGATGTAAGCATGTATTCAGATTAAATTGTGTTTATATGTATTTTTCGTTAAACTTATATGTGTATCAGAAAATCGTTTGCTCGTTATATATAGCAGAAAGAGGCTATAGATTTTTTTAAACATTAAAATTTAGAAAGCAAGAATGATAAATGACCCGAGGTTTCAATAAGACTGTTACAAAATTATATCTTCATATCAGGAGTCAATTGAAAATCGAATCACTATTAAAATGATGAATCGACATTATGTTGCAATCTGATCGGAGCGGAGCAAATGTCACTTCCTCTTAAATACAATGCACCTCAGGCGAGCAATTGACATGGAAAATATTTTAATGAAGAGGCTTTTAATTGCGACATTTGTGCGAAATGTCGTAGCCTCATTGACAACTCCGGGTGCCTCCTTTGCATAAAGGCATGCAAAGTCTCCCTCAGACATGTTGTTATACAAGACGTATGT